AGGGTTAATTAACTTTCGTGTCCGCCCGGCTGACAGCTATTTAGCGTGAACCCCCAGGGAGGTAGGTCGATCTAAAGTAGGTCGATCTAATCTATGGAAATGGGGTGTTAGGATCTAGTTGGGTCCTAGATATAACAAAGTACACATTTAAGTAGTGTAATACAAAATCACAAAATCATGCTCAATTTTTTCTGCCATTTAAAGGAATTGAAGTTGAGGAATTGAACAGCATGACCTGCAATTTGATAAGGTATACAATGTAGAACATGCCTACCCGTATTTGCTCATTCTCCTGTTTTGATAGGAAGACCAATGTCTGAAGGCCTCCCAACTCAATTACCTGCAAATGTGAAAGGGGAAGCAAGGTTATATAAATAATATTACCTTTATCTTTAAAACATATCCTTTCCTCCAAGTGCATAAATAGTTTTGAAAACAAAACTGGGATAACAATTTCATTAAATCTTCAAAAGATTGCAAATAGCAAGAATTACATCATTCTTTGCCACCTTGATGTTACTCACTTTTTTCATTCCTGCTGAATCCATAACCAACTCTGTCAATCCCTGCACAGCTTCTAACTGGAATGACTGAAAAAAAAAACACATTTAGTTTAAATAACTGTTTTTCTTAGTATTTCAGTAATTCTTTAAATTTTAATAGTATTTGGATATTTTCAATGTGTTGCAACACTTTCTAATTTTAATTAATCATAATGTAGCTGTCAGAAAAATGAAAATTGGACAAGGCTCATTGTGCTTTTACAGAATTACATTTACTTTCCAAAGAAAAGACCATTTGTTATCAGCATTTAAAGGTTGATGGAGGTGGTAAAGAGGGCAAATCAGATTCTTTCTGTCTTTTCACTGAATCCATTACACTGAATAGAGCCACTGTGATTAGAAATGGTGCTTTCAGAATTGCCAATATTTCTACACAGTGAAATATCATTTGCAGCAACTATATATTACACCAGCAAATCAGCTAAAGCACCTATACTGATGTTGACTGAAGGAGACTATTAATATTATCTTTAACAGTATGTTTATTTAAAAATGCAACCAAAAGGCTGTAGTTGTCCAGATAAATGAGTTTGAATATCTACAAAAAATACAGGATTAAGATTTAGAAAAAATTGTGTCCAAAATAAACACAGACCTCTTAAACTTACATAAAGAAAAGGTTATAAGATAAAAGTGTTTTGGAAACTTTCAGAAACTATTGCGTAACAATCTTCCGTTACCTGATGTGATGACCTTGATTTGGTAATACACTCTGTCACAGGTTTACATACTTCACAGACACGTTCTGGGTCAGGGAGGCCAAGCTGGGGGAGGGGAACCTGGACAATGATTGGATGTAATTCTTTAGATTTTAAATATTTTTATCCACAATGAGTTAAGAGATGTACACTTTGAATATTTACAGCTAACCTTCTCAATGAGTGAACAATGAATGTGATTAATACAATTTATTTTAAACAGATCTTGCACTTATGAATAAGCTGCAAATAAACAAAATCTTAAGTCACTAACGATTTGATTTTTACCTTTTGGCTACAGCACTTGCTACACAAGACACGCCCGCACTGTCTACAGTGGTGCTTTCTACGGAGCTGATTGAACTTGTTGGAGCATATTTTGCAAGCGCTCACCTCATTGTCTTCTACCCAACTGCAAAACATTTGGTTTTGTTTTACCCGTTCTCAATAGCAATTAGGAGTAGTCTAGTTCATACTATACTAGTATATCTGTCAAACTGCTGATACCTTATTGATGATTGTATAATGGAAAAACATGGTTTCCAGCATTGTTATGCTACAGTAAGATTTCATCTTTTGTTTCAAAGGTGAATCTATAGGTATAAATTATTTTTGTTGTTCAAGATCTCTAATTTTACAAGGATATTCTACTAAACTTGCATGAATGAGTTTGTCATACCGAGCTTTTGAAAATACAAAATTATTGGCTGCAAAGACGTCGACAAGTCCCTCAACTTGAGCAGGTATCACATCTTCGCCTTCTATTTTGATCCTTTCAATACATGCCATTATAGCAGTTTGGTTATTCTCATGACTCTAAACAGGCAGGCAAAACAACACGCCCACCATGTTGAAAGGTTGTGCATTGGGGAACCCCCGCGAAACCGAGGCTAATTCCCAAAACGAGACTCGGATTTCCCGTACTGCACTTAAATAGTCCCTAATTTTAAAATCTATTCTAGCCGATGATTAGAAGGGTATGCCTGTTTCGAGACATATGTTTATGAGATACATGTTAAGCTTTGTCCCATAAGACAATTTACACATGTTTTTTTTAAGGTAATATTTGAGAAGTAAAAGACCCATTGGACTTTACTACAAATAAAATATTATGCCTCAAGCCAGGTAAGTCATTTTGTTTAGTTTGAACAAAATATGAAAAAATGAACTAGGAGACACGGTTCAGTGTTTTGAATGCACGAAGAAAGTAAAGGTGACAATGATATTTTGGATAAAGGGATGAGAGGAAACTAGATCAATTTCAGTTTCAAGGGGTATTTCATTCTAAAAATCCCCTTTGCCTTTTAACACTAAGAGTTGTACAATGGAATTTTAGCCAGATATTGAACAATTTTAGACATATTTTTATAAAATAGGCATGGGGAATGCATGTAAGAACATTAAAGTCAAATTTTATATTTGAAATATGATTGTAAAAAGGGGGCATTTCATATTCTCTGCATATGAAGTTATTTACGTAAAACGGTGGTAAGTGGTTTAAGACAGTGGTAAGTGACTTGAATTATACCCATAAGATTAAGTAACTCAATAACTTTTTTAGATTCTAGCACATTTAAAAAAAATACATGTATCCTATCCATCCCTTTCAAATTTAATTTACCAAAGAATGTATGGAAATGGATCCCTATCTTTTAGGTACTATATCAGGCTTTACTTAATCTAACTGAATTTAGTCAAGGAAACAGATGTAGCCAAGACCCTCAAGGGTAAGTAGAAATAGTCCGGGTGGCATGTTATGGGTGGTTATATTTAATTAAAAATTTTTGCAGAAGTCAGTTGGGTTTCATAACCTATTCTGACAAATACTTAGCCAGTTCTAAGACGTACTTACCGTAGTCATTCAAACTGATTACAATCCTTTATATAGCTTTTACTCCTGTATTCTCTGTGGAAAGACTACAGCATATTTTAAGGAAAGATATACTGCATGCTTTTGCTTTTGATATAATTTAATATACTCAGCTAATTTCAAACTTCATTAAATTATATTTTGCATTATTACATTAGCATAAGAAACAAACACAAATATGGCAGCACCATTATTTATTTATTTGTGAGTTTAAATCTGTTGTATTATAAAAGGATGTGTATAAAGCTAATAATGACTACCTATGATCATAATAAAAAATCCCTATATTATACAATATATTTTTACAATGTATATGCTGTTTTTACATTAGTTGACTTATATGTATCTTCACAATGTTAGCTTACAGTGCTCATACATGATTGTTATACTAATCCTATTTAGCATTTATTTGACTTTAAGTTTTACATCTATAGTATGTTGATTCTTAATCATTCCTACTAAGAGATACTTATGACAGAGAAACTCACTTTAAAATTACTATAAAATCACAAAACACAATTTCAACAAACAGTCCTATAAGCACATCTATTCATCATTAGTATTTACGATTAATTACAGGATTTTGGAAGAGGTAAATTCTCATCATGTTCCCTGCCTTTCAAAATTGAATCCCAAAATTATGCTAACATGTAAATAACACAAAAACAGTGTTAAACATTTCACATGCACTAAATAAACTTACACACACATTTGGGCTTCTTTTCATTTTAGGCACATACAATTCAAGGCACTGAAAAAATCCATTCAGAGCAAATTAAAGTAAAGTTGTTCACTGCAAAATTTACAATCCAGTGCTTTAAATATCAGCATTCACTGGAATTTTGTTCATCTGATACTGTGGCAAATGCTAAGTGTCACAATTTCCCATTACCATATACGCTGTGCAATATGCTGTAAAGCACTAAAATATACAATTAAAGATAATTCTTTACCTTTAAAACAATATATACCACATCACATCTAATACATACGATTACCAGAATATTTATAAAATTAAGAATATTTCCACACTTTTAATCACACAATAAATGTTGTTATTTCATGTTATGTGCAAACCTGTTACTTTAATAGCCCAGCAAATCTGAATTTTACTTTGATCTCAAAAATACAACAAAAAGAAGATATGTGCCCATAATTTTGCAGTGCATCTTTTCATGATGAATTCACTTCTCAGCATTTTTTATTCCCTGGCATATACATCTCTCTGACCACATTTTGTCTTATCCTATGAGTAATACCAGTTTACAAATCAACATATTTATTTCAGTATCTGACGGTACCCTTGGAACTATTGATCTTTTATTAGATGCACAGTCTAGTTTACTGTAAACCAAAACAAGTAGCTGTGAGCAAAAATTTAATATCATGATGCTGTTAATGTAAATCAATTTATAAAAGGTCATCAGACCACTTCAGTTACACAACTATAAATCAATTGCTATTAATGTTCTGTGAATCACTACTGACCGACAAACAATCAATGCACTGCTTTCTGTTTAAAAATGGTGTGGATCTGAAACAACAAGTTCTATAAATAACAGTTCTTTATGAATGGTTTCATAAAGAAGCCTATGCAAGTAATATGGTCAGTAAATCTGTAAAGAGACACAAATCTAGCAGGGGTTTCAGTTGAACTTCCTATTGCAGTGTACTCCTGAACACCAAAGAGTTGGTTACCTGAAATGCACCTTTAAGGAGAAAGGTGGCCAGTAGGAAGAATCTTGTTCATGGACATTATCAAGAATGTACCAATGACACTATGCAGAGGGCTGGCTGCCAGTGGGTCTTGACCTCTGTGGCCTCAAGTTCAAATCAAGCTCCCGTCTTACTATGGTACAGCTTGCAATGTTTACTGGGATACACCTAACTCCCTCCTGTCCTGTCAAACTGTTTATGTGATGTGTCCTAAAACGGCAGTCTCAACTGTTGTGCCTCAAATAAACAACTATGGTAAAATACCTGAAAATAATAAATATATATATGCTCAGGCATTTAGTTTTTCTATTATGCATTGGGGGAGCAATAATAATATATTGCGAAATCACAAAATGGCTGTACTAGTATTATGTCAAGAACATTATTTATCAATTGTGTCTGGCAATAAAACTGGTTTGCTAGTCGTAATCACTAAAAGATTTTATCTTAGATTTATGTCAACACAGGTGTGTAAAAAAACTTTGCAGTGACTCATGTTTTCTTTGGCAATATATTTCATAATGCTGTGCACAAGTATTCCCTTAAAACTCATTTAAAACTATTGAGAACGGAGGACATACACAGGAAATTGCTTGTGGCGTGTTGTGCATTATTTGGTAGCTGCTTTACAATTTTTATAACCGGTTGACTTAACTAGTTAGTTTGGGATGCAACCAACAACAATTTAAAAGAAAATGTGATAGAAGAATATATCTCTTTCATCTTCCCATAAACAGAACTATGACTACTAATTCAGTTTCTTGAAGCATATTATCTTTTCTTATAGATTGCACTCCGTGGTTGCCAAATCCATTGTATAAATGCAACATTATGAGTAACAGCGTATGTGTAACAGTCTGCCTTAGAACAGCTCACATTCACAGACTACATTCATAAATCTTTTTCTATAAGCTGATGCCAACACAACTTCATGCTACGACTGTTTGTTTGCTATTCCAGAGCCTTTTTACTATAAAAAGAAGCCCTTCATTTTGGTTGGGAATTATGCTCATAAATCATTCACAAAATGAGCTTCATTGTTATCTCAGCTAATGTTTGGACAGGCGGAAACCATGGTTGCACTATGCACTGCTGCTTCTTTTTTTAATGACATTTTCCAGCACTTGCAATATGCAAAATTCAAAGGCTGCCACTGGTAATCTTGTAAACCCAAGTTACACAACCAAGCAAGATAGATTGCAAAACTTGAAAACTAATGTACCAACTGTAAACATATCAAACTTATCAAATCAAAAGATCACTCTCCACAGATCACTTATTTTAAGACTTAATGATTGCACCTGAGTATACATCCTTTTGACTAAAATAACAATTTATTCAAGGCTAAATACTATAAAATGCACTAACAATTAAGTTCCTATTCAGTCACCTATGCTTTCCCTCTTATACTTATTCTAGCTTGGGTAGCCATCTCCTACAAGGCACTAAGCCATATTTGCAATCTGTAAATGTCAGCCTTATCACACTAAAAATAACCCGTCGCAATATAATTCCATAGATTGAGTAAGAATGGCAGAAAAATATGGCCTCTAAAATATTAACTATTAGAAAGCAAAAACATCTAAATAACAACAAAGTGTTCTTGGAATAATGAGCAGATATGATTGCTAGCAAATGTTTGATCTAAATGTCAAAAACAGATGTGCATCATGAAGGGGAAGGGGGTGGATAATTGAAAACAGATCATATGTCAAATAAAAGTAATTTGTCAATATATGTGTGGAGTGGCTGCCAAAATCATCAGACTGGCAAAGTGAATTAAAACAAATCTTATGAGATATTGAAACTGTGCAAATATTAAATATGCTGAAGTCTATAAAAAGAGCTCCAATATAGCTGTATGCTACACGCACGTACAAGTTCTTAAAGCACAAGAAATCAATGACATGACCCACGCTGAATGAGAAGCCCTGATAAAAAAAAGACAATATTCAATTTCCTGAACACAGTCAAAAGAAGAAGACATTTTACATATGGGAGATATCCATACTTCAAATGCTGATTATTGCCATTTGAAGGGAAATATCATATACTGGGACCTAAAAATGGGCTCTACAATTGAATGAAATGGTAATTCCAGTCATTTTATGTCATTTTGATCACTTCAGGGGTTAATGAGAGGAGCAGGGGGTTATCAAACAGGTATTGACAGATCTCACATGAACTTAAATTGTTCATCATGCCTGTTAGAGCAGAGACGTCAATGGTATTTGGCATGCTTTGCTGTGGATGGAGATCTACATTTGCACCACTGACAACAACATCAGGTTGATGTCCCCGTTTTCTTTTTTTTTTTTTTGTTTTTTTATTAATCCCCTGAAGTGATCAAAATGTGCAGAAAAATACGTATATGACTAGAAATTATCTTTTTATTTTATTTTAGGCCCCAGAAAGTGACATTCACCTCTAAGTAGTTATACTAAGAAAGAAAAAACATTAAGCCAAATGAATAATGTTTCCTAAAACCCTTGGGGGAAATAACATATGACAAATAAGGAATTTGATAACAATTTCTGACTGGTTTACAACAAATGTAAGACTTAACGAGCCTTGCATCATGGAAAATTAAACATATTCCACCAACACAAATGATGTCCTTTAAATGACCTCTAAGCCAGGAGCTGACAAAAACACTAGTGAATAAACTACACTTAAAGGGAGACATATTTTACAGCTGATAAACGGCAAATGATACATGCTCAAGTTGAATGACGATTGCCCAATCTATCTTTCCAATGCCAGCTTAAACACTTAGGAACAACACTTCCAAGCCAATATAGAACCGTTTTCTCCCAAATGAGTTGTTTTCATATTCAGCTCTGCTTTAGAGGTATGGCAATTACACACAAGGGGGATCAAAGCCAAAGCCACTGGGATATAGCCCATGCAAGCTGTAACTCCAGTTTCATTGAGAAAGGCATAGAATCTTCATTCCACAAACAATAGCTATGTTTGTCTGTGGCTAATAAAACTACTTTATTTAGGACCCTACCTGGTATCAAAGCCATTACACTTCAATGTCCTACCTGAGTATCAGTGTTCTGTACTCTTTAATCCAGCATGTGCTCTGTAACCCAATATCATTGATTCAGAGAAAAGTTTACATAAGACCCTTAAAACTCATTGCCATTGTCCCATTGTCAAGACCCCCACCCCCTCCCCCCAAAAGAGAATACAATCCTAGCATTTTGGAAAACTTCTGACAACTGTCTGTATGTATGTTAAACTAGAAATACATCTTAGGATTGTTCTTTACCTTTCCATCACTTTCTCTCAGCCATGCTGTGGACAAGTTATCATTTGCAAACAATTTCAACAATATTGAACAAGACGCTTTTAAGTTATTAAAATTACAGATAGTGTTTCATGCAAAGAGAAAATATGAAATAATCATCCAGGTTACTAATTCCATATGCTACTTAAGTCTGGAGAAGGAGTAACTGTTGTGACATTCTGAATCTAGCTGAAGACAACACAAGATCCTATCACTGTACTGCTTTTTAACCATATTGATTTCTAGTGAGAATTTTTCTAAAAAATTGAATTTTAAATGTTCCTTTGAGAATTCTTGATCAGTCATTAAAGTTGTTTTCTATCCAATTTTATTTCTCTTAAAACAGTCATGGGAACATTCTCTCAAAAAAGTCCCAAAATTTTTAATAGCATCAAATATTCAAGTTTTCTCTGGTACACATTAAAGGCACATAATGATCATTTGATATTTATATAGATTTTTACTTTAATTTGGGAGATTTTAACTCTATTATCTTCATCAACAAGATATACCATATCCCAAACTGTTCACTGACTTATGATCCAAAACCCCCTTCTTGTTAGTTCTTAGTATTAAAGTTTCTATTGTTATTGAGATAAGGACTGAATAAATTTTCCTTGTGAAAGAAAAAATAAAAATTTTGAACAGAAATACAGGTTCATAGAGCTTATTTTCTCAACAGTTTCAGATAGGGCATACCTTGATGATGAAGGGAAGTTAGCTGAAATTTCCCAGAAAATTCTTATTTTTGCTATGTTAAGATCTAACAAGCAATGTACACCTTAAATTGATTCTTTTCCTGGAAGAATTCTTCATACACTGAACAAATATGACATGCATATCTAAATGAAGGTTTTAATCAGACTGGCATTTACCCCATTGCCATTATGAAGGCAATTTTTCTGTTGTTTAGAACAATGTGCTTGGAGCCATCTTTGACTAGTCTTAATGAGTGTCATGACATAAGTCTTGAATACTCATCATGGAAGATGTTGGTGAATTAGTACTGCTTCATTACATTGATAAGGTTCAATAACTGATCTTGGGAGTGAAATGCTTTCCTCTAGAGAGATATAATCTTCATGTATAGTAAATTGCAAAACAGGATAGCATGAAATTTATCTACCATTTAAAATTTAACTGAGTAAGACACATCGGTCTGAAAAAGATGGTTTTACTAAAAGATTTCTGACTTCTTCAAAATTTATGGTATTACCATGACCATTTGTTGTATAAATAAAACAATAAAAATTCTATAGATCACTGAAAAAAAGGGAAAAATAACATACCTATTGCTGTTCAATAAAAAGCTGGTTCATCATTGCCTCCAGAGCTTCTTATAGAACCCATCCTGGCTATAGGCTCCAAGTCATCAGCAAAGTCATGATCAGTGGTTTGCACACAACCATTTTTCTTAAGAATATACGGACTTGGTAAAGGTGTATGGCTGGTTCTGGAACTTATAGTGGCTTCACTGGTAGAAGAGCTGTCATCTCCATCCATATAGCCATTATAACCCGTGTCTTCTTCATCCTCATCACCCATCTCTGCTAGCTCTTTAGCTGAACAGGTGGGAGTATCCACTGGAACAGTGTTATGGAAGCGTGAGTAGTCCACCTGGTACTCGCCATTCTCCTTCTGGAATGTCACCAG